TATATATATATATATATATATATATATATATATATATATATATATATTCCGATATTCTCTGAGAATATTCTGAGAATATTAAAAAAATATTTCTTATACAATTCATAATTCTACAAAATATTAACCGTAATTTGTTTTTTACATTTTAGACGTAAATTTACATAATCTGTGTGCAATATTCTCAGAATATCCCCAGCATATTGCGTATATATACGAACTTTTGGGATAAATTCCATAATATATGCAGAATCTACGGTATGCATGCAAAATATGATATACTGCCCTTATAGAAATATCATACTAAGAATCATTGATAATTACTTATTATCCAGTATTTTTAATACTGAAAATAAGTAATTATCAATGATTCTTAGTATGATATTTCTATAAGGGTGTATACGATATCCTGAAAATATTCTTAGAATATACGAAATGTATATGAATCCAGTATATACTATTTACGATATCCTCGGTATATTCTCAGAATTACGTAGATGTATGGGAGATTCCGTATGAATTCAGAATATACGGAGAATATCATGTGCTATCTGAGTATTATTCAATATATTCTCTTTTCGATAAAAGTACTGCTAAATGTGACTTGTAACACTTCTAATTGACTATAAGCCACTTTTAGAGGCACTTTCATCGATAAAAGAGTGTTTAAAACAAAAGTTAAAGACGCTGCATGTGTAGCATTTTAAGTAATCGTTATAATTTATCATCAAGAATTGTTGATTTTTTCGAAATGAGATGCGTCTACTGTCGTAGACGATCGTAGACTTTGACTTTTAAGAGAGACGGTGAGTTTTGAAATAATTTTAAAAGAAAAATATTACATACACTATGATAAGTACGTGAATCTTTTAAGGCTTCTAGATCCTCGTATAGGCTGTTCTTGTTTGATGACGTCAGAAGCGAGAATCGCCTATTCATAATTCTTACGTTGAAATAAAAAGATATATTTATATAACGGCACTCGTAATCAATTCAGCAAATTTGTAAACCACTTCGAACGCTCTCTTTTTGTAGTTATAATTAATAAAAAGTCATGAAATTCACATAACAAATTATGAGAAAAGTTTGGTTAAAATCTAAGTTAAAAGTTCTACTAATTTTAATAGCAAAAGGAGAGCGTTCGAAATATCTTATAAATTCGCTGAATAGAAAATGTCGTTTTATGGATATATCTTTTTATTTCAACGTGTAATGTAAAAATTATGACATGCAATTTCTCGCTTCTGATGTTATCAAGCAAATATAGTCGACGCGAGTACCCGGGATACTTTTAAATTCTTTCCTTGCTGTGATGTTGCTCTATAGTTTTACTGCTCAGTTTACAGGTTTCAGTTAAAAAATATATTTTCTACTATGAGAAATCCTTGGTCATTAAACAGTAAGAGAATGAATGGTACTGCATTTGCGACTATTCAGATAGCAGGATGACGTCTAAAGACATTAGAAATGTTATTAATACTTCATTTGATGTCACTTTGTTACCTAAGTGCTTGTACATGACTAGATCCATCTTTTAATTAAAGGCATGCAGGTTAATAGATTGTATTTTTTAAATTCACTGTTACTTTGACTGCATTTAATATGATTTTTTCGACTTTCGATGATATCTTATTATATGACTACGTGAGTGAAATTTTATTTATTTATTTACATTTGATGTTTACTGATGATGACCCAAAGTGAGACCAAAATGTGTTTGTACATTTATATAATACTAAAAAAAAGACACTATTATTAGCTTCAAGATCAGCTCGTTTTGGCTCTTATTCGCCTGAATTTCTGATCATTTATTATTGCAAGAAGATATTCAAGAAGTACGGAATTTTCTATGAGTAACATAGACAAAGCTTTTATCACAGACGCAGAAACATTACACGTGTCGCATAGTAAGTTAAGTCGTGAAAGATTTTCTGTAATTATATATAAAAATAATTATTAATTCGAAAGAAGATACAAATAGTAGTTTGCAATGGGATCTAGAAGCATTTTAATAAAAAGATATTAAATATTACGATATAATTTTTTTATAAATCTTCGAGTGTATTGACAAACATTTCACGTGTGTAAAAGCACAAACGTGCAAAGATATAAGATAGATAAAATATTAGAATAAAGAAAACATATTAGACTGTTAAATAAATAGATTAAAAAATATTCCGCTTTTTTTTAATGAAAAATGGCGATTTATAAGAATGCTTAGAAAGTAAAGAATATTAGATTATCTAAATGTTAATTTTATATGTAATTCCCTTAAGATTGATTTTTCAATAGTAATTTAAACTTAAATCTAAGTTAACTCTGCTTTCTCTTTCTCTCTTTGACAACTTAAATAGTAAGATGATATCAAGTCACCCCAATAAAAAATTTTACACATAATTATGTAGAATCATATAAAATTATATGTAATTTTACATTATTATATATAATTATGTGTGAAATTTGTCCATACATGTTAATACATATTATATATATATATATATATATATATATATATATATATATATATATATATATCATATATATCATATATATATATATATATATAATCATGTATAATTATATCTATAATTTCATATATAGCTTTACATAATTATACATACAATTACATGTAATTATACATAAGATTATACATAACTGTATATAATTATATATAATTTTATGATTATATATAATTATATATAATCATGTATAATTATATCTATAATTTCATATATAACTTTACATAATTATACATACAATTACATGTAATTATACATATGATTATACATAACTGTATATAATTATATATAATTTTATATAATTATATATAATTTTATATGATTATATATAATTATATATAATTATGTATGGACAAATTTTATATATAATTATGCATAAAAAATTTTTCATTGGGACGTCTTCTACAACTTCAATCATTAAAAAATCACCTTATTATTTTGGAAATGTATACCTTACTTGAGAATGTGAATAGAGTTTAAATTTAAATATAAGTTTAAACAATTATTATTAGTTTAAACAACTAATTAAAAATTGGTCCTTCAACATTCTTTTTTCTCCACATAATATTTTTAAAATATTTCAAGAATTGCCAGATAATGTGATTTTTTTAAATTTCCATACAAATTTTTAACAAATATTTAAGTTCAAAATTATTCGTGATTCTTAACAAATATTTAAATTCAAAATTATTCATGAAAAGTATGTTGATATAAAATTAAAAAGTACATATTAAAAGACGCGCGTTATACGCTATTAAATATCGTTGCAATAACGTTTTATAATTAATAATTTTTTGCTTACTAGGTATATGCTTAGTAATCATAAAGAAGTTTATGTTATTATGTATCGAAAAGAATGATCGATTTAAAGATACAAATGTCGCTTTGCATAGCAGGTTCTGGGATCATTTTATATGAGATATTGCGTATTGCGATGCGAATTTGTTACAAAACTTCGAGAATATTGCAACCACGTTTCACATACGCAAAAGTTCAAACAGAAAGTTATCATACAAATAACATATTAGAATAAAGATAACACAATAAATATTGCGAATATTCAGTACTACAAACTTCATTGAATTCATGAATTTAATTGGTGCACACTTTCGGACTTGATTATGATCTAAAAATACAAACCAACCAAATCTGAAAGCCCACTGAGCGTTTAATGAACGGTATTAGTATTGATTATTAGTACACTAATAAGATCAGACTCATTAAATTAATCGGTAAAAATATATTAATGAAAACCGGCGATACGCGAGAATACTCAAAGAGTATGCGCTCGACCCGGAAAGCACGTAGTAAATGAGAGGAATATTGATGTATATAGTATATGAAATATTTATATTTATGAAATTAGTCTTTCTATACAATTGCTAATACGCAGTCATATACTTTTCGCTTTGTTTGAATCGATAAAGAGCGCATGTCGATGAATAATTAAAATTACTCACTAATTCGTATAGAACCTGTGCGAGCTTGCCTTGTTTCGTCGTGAAATATTTCGTAATGCGCCTGACTAATAATAAATAAAGTAACGAATATATATGCGTTGATTTGAGGTGCGAATACGTAACACAGAAATATATTTATATATACATAATATTGTGCCCTTTCCGTTTTTTCCTCTTTTATAATAATAATAATGCGTATATTCGCGTGTATGAATGTTTTATAATTTAGTTTCATGGAAATTTCAGTAATTACTTTAAGGCACACCCCACGGTTTTTCCTTTCATTACCAAAGTAATTTTGTTCTCTCTTCATATTAATATCGTATAAATAACTGTATACTTGTTTGTTGTGTGGATATTCATTAGAACCTAAATTTTATTATGCTTTTTCTCTATTTTTAAGAATAATTAATATGCTAGATGTAGAGGCAATAATCTGTTCTGTACATAATCCTATGTCTTTCTTATGATTCGTTTAAGATAGAAGATAGTGTACCATTCAATAACGATAGCAAAGACAGTAACATTAATAAGAATAACGGGAAAAATGCATAAAGAGATACGCGTACGTGCAGCTCGGCTCCTCTCTCGTCGCTGCGATATAAAAACATGAGTAGCAATGAGTGTCGAAAATAAAACCAAGGCAATATCACTAGCACGTCGCTCACAATTGTTAATATATTTTCCGTATCGACAGCATAATACGTTTTCTTTACTCGCGTGGCTCTTAAATAATAGAAAATCCGCGCGCGCACGCTGAATCGCGAACCTTTCGCTTTCGTTTCTTCTCGTTTTTCATTTTCTTTGATTTCGTTCCGACCTCAACGCAGAGTAGCATCCATAAACATACGATACGACAAAAAGAAAGTGCGTGACGCACATAGACACATCTACCTCTGCCTGCCGCTTGTTATATGCCTAACGTCCTCTATTTACCACTCACGATTGATATAATCTTGCCGATAATATCGATATAAAATACCTATGCTGCCGCGTCGGGCAATTTATGCATTTGTATATGTACAATTACAGTTCTCACCCAGAGTCCAACTTCGTCTAGTTTCGTATCTCTCTACTCACTAAAAGATACTATCGTGTTTTATGAATAAAAAAATACTAATATATCGCATTTCTCCTTCTTCTTCATCGTCATCTTCTTCTTCCTTGTCGTTGCACGGGCAGTGTTTTGTGTGTAGTTTTGTCCACTGATAAGGCACCAACTATTGTGGGATCCTGAGATTCAACCCGCATGCTTCGACAGATTCAGAGGCATATCTGCGCATAGAAGAAGCGAAATAATCGCATGCGACTATACATCGGCACGTAACGATGCATTTCCTTTCGAGAATGCACCGTAATTTACGTACGAATAATATTATATGTTTTATATAAATATTTGTTTCATGACAATAGATACTATCTTATAATAATGTTACTTTTAAAACGCGCACGCATTTTGAACACTTTTTTCTTGATGCAATTTTAGATGCATAGAACGTAATTGGTGATCCGGTTCATCTAATAAGAGAAATTCTGGAAATTTCTTGGAAACAAATTCTCTCATTAGGCTATCGGCTGCATTCCAAATTACATCAAGGAAAAATAAAAGTTCAAACCATTTCGAAGTCCATTGTAAACTTTGTTTCAAAATGGTTTCAATACTTTTTTTATGCAATTAATAGTCCAATGAGTGAATTTAACTTTTAGAAATTCTTTGAAAACAAAATTCTCTTATTAGGTCATCAGTTTCGTTTCAAACTTCATCATGGAAAAAGAAGTGTTCAGACAATTTCAAAGTCTATTGTACATGGTTTTAAAACGATTTGAATATTTTTTTCTTGATGCAATTTGAAATTTAACTTTTAAGAATTTTCCAAAAATAAATTCTCATTGATTCATCAGTTGCACCTCATAAGAAAAAAATACTCAAACTGTTTGGAAATTCAGAGTGTACACTTGATTTCAAAACGGTTAAAACATTTTTGTCTTCATGCAATTTGGGGCGCAGCTGATAGTCCAATGAGTGAACTTGAGAATTCTTTGAAAGCAAAATTCTCTCATTGAATCATGGCTGCGTTCCAAACTGGGTCGAGGAAAAAAAGGTGTTCAAATTTTTTAGTAACCAAAGCCCTTATTCATAATTTTTCTGATTGACTAAATTGAAAACTTTCTGATTGACTTATAAGCACATTTATAAGTATTTTTAATAAAAGAGAGTTCAAAATAAGGATCCCCAAGTCTACTGTTGTAACTAATATATTATAGATAGATATAATAGATAACAGATAAGATAACGAACCGATAGTTGATCCGACATACCTGAAGGGGGTGTGAGAGTTTGTTCCCTGTAGTCTTTGTAGTGATGAACGGGCGGGGATGGTGGATGAGGATGCGGCGGCGCGTACAGTGGCATGGGAGGTGCATAGTGGACGGGAGACGGATAATGCATCCACAAGGGTGCCCTGTACGGTCCGGGGGGCAACATCGGCAATCCGTAGAGCGGATGATGAACGGACGTATTGCTGGAGCCGATGTAAGGGTCGATTCGTACTCGCGGATAAGCATTGTTGCTCGATGAGTATTTCACAGGCTGTTGTTGTTGTTGCTGCTGCTGCTGCTGCTGTTGTTGCCGCTCGTCCGGCTTCAGCAGATTCCTCAAGAAGCCTGGTTCAGCCGAATTCGGCTTGTCCTCGCCTAGAATACTCGTTATACTGTATGACGACAGCTGCTTCGAAGTGGGAGTCGGCGCGCTCGTCGTCGTGCAGGCCGTCGGTTGCGGAGTGGCCCTCCTCTTGGACGCTTGGTCCTCCAACGAGACTCTCTCCAGCTCACGCAGTATGCGTTTGCGTGGTGACACAACATTCGGGTCCAGCAGGCGCGCCAATTTGTCGATGATTAGACTGAGGACCTTGCCCGATGACGACGACGACGAGGACGACGATGAGGTGCCGTTCAATTTACGCGACGCTCTCGAATAAGCGGCCGTCGACTCCGGGATGAGTGCGGCGGTCGTGGAATCGAACGGGCGTCTGCGTTTCTTCGCTATCAAGCGAGGATGCGCACACAAGCGAATCTTAGGGTTTCGACGATAATAGAAATTAAATTCTGTGGTTATCCTGCGTCGGGGATGAGTCTGCTTCCAGCAATGATCTCTCTGCCAGGGGCTGGACTGCACCGACGAGTTGTCGTCTGAAACTAAGAGCAGAATATAGCACGCGAGTTCTTTATATTACTTGTGAATTCTTCTTGAGTGTATAGTTGTAATGAGAAAGAAAGCTATATCGTAAGACACAAAGATAACGATTGAATCAGTCACTTGTGGCTTTAACAAGTGTGATAAGTACTGGATGAGTAGTAGGAAACATCAATATTTATTGTGATTTTATTCTCGCGATTATTGGATATATGTATACAATCCCAATATGTAATCCCAATAGACATAATCTATTGCGTCATTGCATCAACATTGCAGCAGCATTGTATCAACATTATAATCTCTCATTCAACAACGCAAATTAATGTAACACATATTGTATGTAATAGTTATACATTATGTTGAATAAGAAATTATAACATTGATGTAATACTACTGTCAGTTGATGTTTTTACAGAGCTACTGGTTAACGTGCTTTTAGAAGATAACAATTAAATCAGTCGTTTGTGGTTTTGAAAAGTATGATAAGTGTATTAGATGAGTAATAGGAAGCATCAATCTTTCTTATGGTTGCGATCTCATGGTTGGACATCTGTACAATATGTAATCCCAGTAAACCAACTATCAGTAGTATTACATTGACACTATAATCTTCCACTCAGCAATGCAAGTGCAATGTAACACATGTTGTATGTAAAAATTACATTGTTAAATGAGAAACAACATTGATATAATACTACTATTAATTGGTGTCAAAATACTGGTTAATGTACTCTCAAAAGATAATATTTGAATCAGTCATTTATGGAAAGTGTGATAAATATACTATGTGAGTAATAGAAAGTATCAATATTTCTTGTGATTGTTAGATTTCTGTGCACAGTATGTAATTTCAGTAAACACCAACCCCATCAGTAACATCAATATTATAATCTTTCACTCAGCAATGCAAGAGCGATATAACATACTGTATATAATAATTGCATCGTTAAGTAAAAAACATAACATTGGTATAATGTTGCTGTCAGTTAATGTTGGAATATTAGTTAACGTACTTTTAGAATATTTGAGTCAATCATTTATGGTGTTGGAAAGTGTGATAAGTATACTATGTGAGTAACAGAAAGCATCGATCTTTCTTGTGATTGTTAGATTTCTATGCAATATGTAATTACCAGTAAACACCAACCCTATCAGTAGCATTACATCAATATTATAATCTCCCACTCAGCAATGCAAGTACAATGTAAGATACTGTACATTGCTGAGCGAGAAACATAACATTAATATAATGTTACTATTAGTTAGTATTGGAATACTAGTTAATGTACTTTTAGAAGATAATATTTGAATCAATCATTTATGGCATTGGAAAGTGTGATAAGTATACTATGTGTGTAACAGGAAACGTCAATCTTGTGATTGTTAGATTTCTGTGCAATATGTAATTCCAGTAAACACCAACCCCATCAGTAGCATTATATCAATATTATATGCTTCATTCTTTTTAACTACATTGCTGAACTAGTGCAATAAGTTAGAGTGAGAGAAGGTATGTTTAGGCCTGTTCTCTGTAGTTGCACTGCTGAACTGGTGCAATATATTGAAGTGAGACGAATATATGTTTCCTCATTCTAACTTATTGCACTAGTTCAGCAGTGCAGCTACAAAGAACAGGCCTTTTGTTTCACTCTAACTTATTGCACTAGTTTAGTAATGCAGCTGAAAAGAACAGACCGATAATCTCCCACTCAAGCAACGAAAGTGTAATGTAACACATATTGGCTGCGTTCAGCAGAGAAAGCTGCTTTGCAACTGTTGTAAAATTCGTGAATCTGATTGGAGTATGCTCTTAATTTTGGTTAAATCCAAGAGCATGTACCAATCAGATTCACGAATTTTACAACAGTTGCAAAGCAGCTTTCTCTGCTGAACGCAGCCAATATTGATGTCATGCTACTGTCACCGTTGGTGTTTACTGAGATACTGGTTAATATGCTTTCAGACCTACCACTAAGAGATGTAGAGCTCTCCTGGCGATTTGGGATCGTACTAGCAGGTGGCCAAAACGTTTTCTTTGGCACAGGGAACCACGTGGTCTTCTCGCCATCCCTGCGGTGGGACAGCTCCAGAATGAACTTTCCATCCTTGAAGAATTTCAAACGGCCACCAGGAGTCGGTAGGAGGTTATTATCGATGCGCGCCTCCGCGTGGTGAACTGGCTGGGGATTCGAATTTTTACCGTTTGCCTTGGCAAGGGTCGGGTGCAATGTAGGGGGATCACGCGAGCACATCTCTGTCGTGCCCCTCACGTGACCTGCGTGAGCATGACATTCTGCTGACTTTTCACGCATGCTGATACTTTACCGGTATCCATTTTCCTCCGCTTGGCCTCTCATACTTCGACTTCTCAGCATTCGAGATAGGACGACACAGTTTATATGTCCACCGTGGTTCCGCTCGATTCAGAGATAATCAAACACACATGCCAGAGTTGCCGCAACATTCAGACCCAGTGAAAAACATGTTACTACTCTCAGCAATTTTTTCTCTCTCACTCTCTGTCTTTTCTCTTCTCTTTCAGAGAAACCAAAATCTGCAAGTTACAAAGTCCGAGGCACACGTATCATATTGACAAGTAGCAAATGAAAACAACAGCGTGCATGACGGGCCGTCGCGAAAGTCGCCGAGCATAGCCGCGGAACAGCCGGAGAGAATTGCAGGCGAGGTCGTGCTGGCACAACTCGGCAGACCCGACGACGGTCTACAAGACAGGCGAACTCGTAAGCAGTGCATGTGTCCTCCGTGTCCTCGCGCTCGGTGTCACAGTGTTGTCGTCGTCACCGCGTACGCCAGCGCACAGGCTCCGGGCCGACTAGCAAGCGACATTTTAGTCTCCCCTCGCACTCGGGGAAAACGCGCGACGGTCACGGCGAGTGGGCTCGCTCGCTCGCTCGCGACGACGCCAGGTCACACAGCACCGGGGATCAGATCGTCACGAGCGCACGCCGTCGGCAGGACGGCAGGAGCGCGCGACTCGTGGCACGCTACGCGCAGGCACGTATCCGCGCCCGGAGAAATCCGGTGTGCGTGAGAGCGGCAGCGGCCGCCAGCCAGACGGACAGACACCCACCCACCCACGCATGCACGCACGCACGCACGCAGGCACGCACGTACGTACGCACGCACGCACGCACGCACCTACCGCCTTCCGCTTTTATTTCGCCGCGGCCGTGGCGCGGCGCATCGTCCCGAGGACCGTCGTCAGCGGAGACGTCGTACGCGTCGAACGTTGTCGCGCGTCACCGCGGCGGACGCGGGCGCGTACGCCGGAGCGAGCGTAGCACGTAACGAACACAACGTGTGGATGGTGGACGACGGGCAGCACTCCGCAGCAGTGGAAGACACTACTCGGCCGTGACACATGTGTTTCACCTCGGCCGCGAGCGTGTCCGCGTGTACACGTATATGCGTGAGACGCGCCCCGACGAGCCGCGACGGTAGCAGGCCGCTCGTCGACCCGCTCTCGTGGTAGGAACGCGCGTCCGCCGTCCGTTTCCTTCCGCGTGATTCTTGTCGCGCCGCCGCCGTCGCGTCGTCACTGTCGTCGTCGTCGTCGTCGTTGCCGCCGCCGCCGCCGTCGTCGTCGTAGGAGGAAATAAAAAAAGCCAAGGGAGAAAATCTCTGGCCTTCGTGTCAACGGTATCGACCCTTCTCATCGACAACACTGGCGGTGGTGGCGGTTCGCGGTCCGCGCGTTCCTGCGTTTCTGCACGCGCGGTCAGTCCGACTCCCACGAGAGTAGTGGGACTCCGACAGCTTTCCTGTCTCTCTCTCTCTCTCTCTCTCTCTCTCTCTCTCACTTTCTTTCTCTCTCTTCTCTCGCTCTTTCGCGCGCGACTGCCGGAGAGAGAGCCTTCTCTCGGCGGCTGCTCCGGGACCGGACACGAACCGCTGCAATTTCACTGATTTCGGATCGCGATAACCGCCTCACGCGATAACGATCCCCCGCGAGACAGTGCGGCGCGCGCGTAAGGTCGGTTTTCGCGTGGCTATAGCCTCGGAAACTGAACTCCGCCGAAATATACCGGTTTCACCGCTTGCTCTCGGCCCGCCCGCCGTGGGCTATTACGGCGAACCGATTATATCGGAATTTCATTGCGCGCCTTGGAACGCGTCAGGACGGGCTTTCGCATTTCCCTCGTGAGCAGAGGCTCCACCGAAGCTTTTCGGTTTCCCCGACGCCTCTTGTATAATCGCTCTCGCGCGTCGTGACTTTTCGCAGTTTTACGCCTCGTTTATGTCAAAGCGCGACTCGTTCCGATCGTTCTCTGCGAGTCCGCCGTCGTTACTTGCACTCTGCGCGCTTGGAGGAAAGTGGACGCGCGCTCGGGTGAGAGCGAGAAGCAGCGAACGCAGTGTAGAAAGTGCGGTGGAAATGCGAGCGGACCTAATCCGGATTCCCGCTTCTCTGCGCGAGCGCATGAGCCGCGCGCTCGTATGAAAAAGTACGAAACGCGATACTTTAGCAGGAAATAAACGATGAAAATTGTGGTCATCCGGTAAACATCAGTTAATAGTAATATTATATCGATGTTAGAATTTTGTATTCAACAATGTAACTATTACATTCATCGTATCTCAAGTGACTAGGTAAAAGACGTGATAACATCAAAGTAGGGATAAAATGACCAAATCATGACCGTACAGTGAGTTTTCGAAGTTGGGAAGTTAACATTTCTTTTTTATTTTTTATATTTAATTTTACTATCAATTTTTTATTATTTTTTTAAATTTTCGAGCTTTTTTATAGTTGTATATTAATTTAGAGTTTTAATTGTATATTAATTTTATATATTTAATTATTATATATATATATATATATATATATCCCTCACAGCAATTAATATCTATGGGATATCTATGGAATATACTAAAATCATCGCGGATATGCGATGATTTATATCTCAATCTCCTGATAATATCATCAGTATATCATAATAAATAAATTTCGAAAATATCCCTGTATACAATATCCAAGAGATATCTTATCTCAAATATGATAATGTGTAAAATATATCGTACAGACATCCTAAAGATGGGTATAAGATATAAAGCATGTACATAGCTAGAGACAGGCATCTTTTTATTAATATTTCGAAAACTATAGGAAATGCACAAGTGACTATGAAGCATATACATCTCGCTGTTTTTCGTCGGTGTGAGTTTTCCATCCGGTTTAACCGCCGTTACATTAAGACCCCAGTAAGCAAATTGAGCGCAGACTGCGCGCAAATTGGCAGCAAATTTGATCAAACATTTACACCAAAACCATAGCCATGTCCCATTCATCTACGGTTTTGGTGACAGAGCTTGCTATTGGGCTATTGCTGCAGATTTGCAGCAAAAACCGCGCAGAGCCTGCAGCGCAGCAAGGTCTGCGCAGTTTCTGCCGCCAATCTGCCGTCAGATTGCTACAAACTCTGTACGGTTTTTACTGTAAATCTGCAACAATTATCCGACAACAGGCTCTGTAGCATATCTAGCGACAGTTTGGCAGTAAGATTTGATATAATAGATCTTGCATCAAATTTGTTATCTATTTGCCATCAAAAATTGGTAGCAAGTCCTGCTCGAAATCTGTTCGCGCAGGTTTGGCTATCTGGGACGTGTTCGAACACGTTCGGACCTGTGATTCTTTTGAGAAACGTACCTTTTGATACTTTGATGAAAGGGCCACAAAAAAGGTCTGAATCCAAGTAAAATGAACAGAGAGAGAGAGAGAGAAAGAGAGAGAGACAGTTTTCCTAACCTTAATAGTGGTCAACTTTGTCGGTTAATATTTCGCTTCGCAGTAGAGAGCGACGAGTTTGTCAAATGAAAAAGTCGTTTCTCGTGCAAAAATGCGTCGATTGAATCTACTTTCATCGAAAGGTGAGGGGCCTAACTGAATAATTACCGAGAGCAAAACTTTTTCTCTTTCAGAAAAGCTAAAAATGTGGCATTACTTGCGACTAATAAAAAAATGACTCCAACACAACTGCAACTTATATTGCACGAGGATATCATAACATCTCACGTGAATAAATTAACATTAAATTTATGATTAATAACATTTGCATTAATTCATATAACATTCCTATTATAGGTGATAACTTGTAATTATTAGATAATATATATAAACAGAATACTTATAACAACCTATCAGTAAACATCTGTTAGTTGTAATTCCTGATTGAACAATATAGGTTTTATACAACCTGTGTATTATACAATAACACTAAGAGATATTCCAATTCATGTAAAAAATCTGAAAAAATTATGAGAATTTTCTGAGATTCTGAGAAATCTTTCCAGCAGAGATATATTTATTGTATTTGGTGTAATTCTATTTTGTATAATTTCAGCTATAATACTAATGTCTACATTATATTGATAATTGTTTAATATGTATATAAATTAGGATATCGGTATAAAATTGACTTACTAAGTACATTTTGTACTAGTTATATATTTATTGATATGCATATTAAGTAAGCAGTATAAATTTAGTCATTATTATTATCAAAAACATCCTTCCTCATATATCCAGATTATCTACCATAATCATCACTAATATATTTGTAAAATATACGTGTAATATATCTTCCGGGGTTTTCCTGTACACGACAATAATCAGAGATCTCAGGGATATCATACAAGTATATTTCGCTACAATATGTATACGTGTTCTATGATATCTATACGTGTTCGTAACTGCGGACATTAGTGTATTCTAGTAATATCTCTCATATATCCATGACTTCTATGGGATATCTGTAGGATATTGCAATATCCCGGCAGAATATCTTTAGGAAATTCCATAGATTTCCCTTTGCTATGTGAGATATATATAAAGTTTAAAATTAATGACTTATAAAATAAATTTAATTAAATTATAGATTGTAATTTTAGAACTATAGGAAATGCACAAGTGACTATGGAGCATATACATCTCGCTGTTTATCGTCGGTGTGAGTTTTCCATCCAGTTTAACCGCCGTTACATTAAAACGTGTTCGAACACGTTCGGACCTGTGATTCTTTTGAGAAACGTATCTTTTGAGAAACATACCTTTTGATACTTTGATGAAAGGGCCGGAGTTCCGTTTCATTTCGCTTGTCGTTCGGACGTTTTTCTTTGTGCTCCTGAAATATCGGTTGTATTTGTTACAAAGTTCGACCCGAGAATTCAATCTGATAGGTTTTTGACACTCCAGATTTAAATTAGGCTTTGTTATCTTTGCCTTCCTTCTGGCGAGATGATTGAGGAGGAAAAGGATGAGGAGACGAGGATGATTGTTTCACCAATCGCAGTGGATCCTCCTGCATCTGGAGGGAACTTCGGATGTTCTCCCATCTGATATCACCATGGATAAACAACCTGACATGGAAAGCTGCTCATCTCCTGTTTTGGATACACCAACCTTTTCCAAAGTTCATTTTAAAAGGAAGAAAGCTAGATCAATTTCTGAAAATATCGATTTACATGGTAATAAATCTCAGTTTAAAAGTCAACTTCTGAGGAAGAAGTCTTTGTCTGAATTACCAATTAACACACCCAGGGATGTTGTGATCCCAGAAAGAATTTCGAGTCTCATCGGCCAAAAATACAGGGCTGAATCTATGGCGCCGTATACGGTTTATTTGGAGTTTATGAAAATCGACGACCTTTCCCGGGACCATCTTTGTTTTCCATCGCAGTCTCCGGGAATATTAAAACTCGGGAAAAAATTGTTTACTTTTGCGTCTGCCTTTCTCAGGGTCGCGACTGATTTCCGAAGAAATGGTAAATCGCGATATTCTCTTAATTTTCACAACTTTATATATGCCAACAACTTTATCGGTTTGATGTGGTCGAATAGATTTGAAGTTTTTTCCTCGGAAATGTGGTATGCATACGCTCCTACTTTCAAAGTTTATAAACAAATGATCCTTAGAGGCTTCGATGATTTCGACTTTAATTTTATACGATTTTATACGATTTATACTTTAATCATTATAATATTTATAATATTATAATGATTTTGACTGTAATTTTATACGGCATAATCTTGTGCCTTACCCAGGTTCTGAGAATTCCTGGATACCACCCATAAAAATAGAAAGAATTAAAAAACGGATTCTTAATTCTGACACGGGCAAGGTCGAATTGATTGATTCCAACATTATATGCGCAACGTTTAATTACACAAATACCCCGAAAATTGCTTATTTTCTCGGTAGAAATACTTATCTAACACCCTTTATATCCAGTGTTCGTAGATGTACTTTATATCAAAGATTTGGTCATTCTAAACGTTTGTGCAAATCTAAATTAGATATCCCTATTTGTGAATTCTGTGGTCGTAATGATCACCCTGTGGGTGGATGCAAGGAATCCTTCCCGAACTGTATAAACTGTGCTCATGCAGGTCTGTCTAATACGGCTCACCGAGCTTCGGATTGGATATGTTCGATTTATATACGTCAGGGAGGTTTGCAAGGTCATGGCATATCTCGCTCTTGACTTTAAGGAAGCTACTTTGTATATCGAAAAATACGGATATATACCTAATGAGGAAACAACATCATCCCCTCCACCTCCAACCATGGCGGATTTCCTACCAACTTTTAACAAAGCTAGTTACGCTAAAGTTCTTAAATAGAAACTTAGTGTGTCCGCTTTTCGTTCAGTCAGTTATACACAATCACTTAATTTTCCCCAGGGTAATAATCGAGAACGTAAGATTCCTATAAACCTTCCCTCCTCCCTTTTGCAATCTGATAATTCGAATCCTGTAACTCAAGCATCTCCTACCTTTGGAATATCTCTCCTCGTAACTTTAAAAGATCT